CCCCCCCTCACCTGCCCACAGTTCTCCCGGAGCGGATCCCTGGCCCGGCTGCCCCACTCCCGGCGATATGTGCTCCCCCCGGAGCCCCCCGTCGTATGCAACCCCGACGGCTGGCGGGGGCGCTGGGGACAAAGGCTCCCGCTCCAGGCGGGCGGGACGTCGGAGGGGAGGTCAGGCAGTGCTGGCGATCCTGCCCGCGGTCTCCGTCCCCAGAAACGGGCCCCGGCCGGCCGAGGTGGGGGAGGCCGGGCTCCCGCCACAGGATCCCCGCCTCCCCCGAGGGCTGAGGCCCGACCGCTTCTCGTTACATTCCACTCGCCGCCGGGAGGGTTGGGACACCCAGACCCAAGTCACTTATCCCCTCCAGGGCAGGCTGGTGGCCTCGGTCAATGACAATGCCCAGACCTACCGACAGCAGTCAAGAACAGCACCGGGTCCACTTCTGGAACTTCGAAACGCAAACAAACCTGTCTTTCAGCCTGGCCTTGAACACAAGAGTAATTCTAAACAGAAACGTTACAAAAGAAGAGAAAACTTAAGTCTCGGGACACTATCCATCAGCTCTGAGGGACAATAAACACTGATGGCTCACACCTCAGACAGGGAGAGAAAGGGGAGAGAGAAACCGGCCGGACCCCTTTTAGGAAGAATAAAAATGACAGACAGTTATAACCGAATTAGAGAAAGAAAAGTGAGGGATGAAGGACCGATTGGCAGACAACAGCCCCACCGCATATGAAAAACCAATGCAGAGGGGCGCCTGGGTGGCTCAGTAGGTTAAGCTGCTGCCTTTAGCTCAGGTCAGGATCCCAGGGTCCTGGGACCGAGTCTCGCAGTGGGCTCCTTGCTCGGCAGGGAGCCTGCCACTCGGTCTGCTTGTGTGCTCTCTCTCTCTCTCTCTGACAAATAAATAAATAAATCTTTAAAAAATAACCCAATGCGGTACGCACAGAGTGGATAACTTGAATGCCCACTGATTACTGACTTTAATTTTTGAGGAGATTGAATTGTTCTAAATACCCAATAAGATCATAATTATAAAGTGTTCTTTTTTTTTAAAGATTTCTTTTTTATTTATTTGACAGAGAGAGAGAGAGAGAGAGTGAGAGCAGGAACACAAGCAGGGGGAGTGGGAGAGAAGCAGGCTCCCCACCGAGCAGGGAGCCCGATGTGGGGCTCCATCCCAGGACCCTGGGATCAGACACTTAAGGACTGAGCCACCCAGGCGCCCCTATAATAATTATAACGTGTTCTGAGTGCTTCAGACACCCAAAATAAAAGAGGCCTGCATTTGGGGAGGGGTCTTTTTTCCCCTTTAATCCACCCCCTCCCCCAGAGCCCACCCCATGCATAATCAGCTGTGTTTCACATTGGCAAATGTTCTCTGCTGGACCCTGGCCACTGCGTGAGACTGACATGAAGAAGCCCCAAGGCAGGCGTGTGATTTGAGGGCTTCAGAAAGCCTTCCCACCCCACCCACCGCCCAGAATTTTCTACCTCATCAGGATGCCTCGCCTTGCACTAATTACCTAGTCACATTTCTGGATTTCAGGTATTCATTCATTAGCCTATTTAAACAGTGGGTGTCTTTGGGAGAGTTACAAATTGCTGTGTGGGGACTCGGGCGGAGGGGATGGGAAATACGTTGATATTTTGCTCACACCCTGGCGAGAATGCTTTTCATTCCGTGTGTCACATTGCTGTCTGTCCTGCTGTGCCTGGCAGAAATCACTGAGGTTAGCTGATGGGGGGACCCATACACAGCGGTACAGTGAGAAAAGAATTCATTTCAAAGCTTCAGGGCTCCGAATGCATTGTAAAGCACATACTCGAGGGGATTATGGATGGTAAGGAAAGAAGGTTAGGGCTCTCTAAGATAGCAGGTCCCTGGTGCCAGGACATGAGGGATAGTTCCAGTGATGCCAACCCAGTTTTGTTTTGTTTTGTTTTAAGATTTTATTTATTTATTTGACAGAGAGAGATCACAAGTAGGCAGAGAGGCAGGCAGAGAGAGAGAGGAAGGGAAGCAGGCTCCCCGCTGAGCAGAGAGCCCTATGCGGGATCGATCCCAGGACCCCGGGGTTCATGACCTGATCCGAAGGCAGAGGCTTAACCCACTGAGCCACCCAGGCACCCCCCAACCTGGTTTTAAAGGCAGGCTCTGCGTTCTGGCACATACTAGAAGAGGTAAGCATATGGAACTAGTCCCCCTTACATCAACACGGGTGTGACTAGAAATCACCACAGAATGTCTATGGCGCTAAGACTTTATTTGTATAAACCCAAAAGGCAATTGAGCAAGAGCTCCCCAAATAGTTTAACACCCATGGAAACGTCAGTCAGTGCCGGCTTATTCAAAGGCCAATACAAGGTACCATTTAAGGTCCGTGCTTGTAAGAGGAATGAAGTAATAAATAACTTCTGAAAATACAGTTAACCTTTGAACAACACAGCGGTCAGGGGCACCCACCACAGTCAAAAATCCATGTAAAACTTTTGACTCCTCCAAAACTTAACTACTACTAGCCTACTGTTGACCGGAGGCCTTACGGATCACATAAACAGTGGATTAATTTGTTTGTACGTTTATGTGTTCTATAGTATATTCTTATAATAAAGCTAGAGGCAAGAAAACGTTATGAAGAAAATGAGGGTCACCTGGGTGGCTCAGTGGGTTAAAGCCTCAGGTCATGATCCCAGAGTCCTGGGATCGATCCCCACATCGGGCTCTCTGCTCGGCAAGAAGCCTGCTTCCTCCTCTCTCTCTGCCTGCCTCTCTGTCTACTTGTGATTTCTTCCAAATAAGTAAATAAAAATCTTTAAAAAAAAATGAGAGAGAGAGAAAATGAGGAAGAGAAAGTACATTTACTCTACTGTACTTATTGGGAGGAAAAAGTATGCACTAAATGGATCTGTGCAGTTCAGACCTCTGTAGTTCAAGGGTGACTGTATGTGCTTTTCGCTTTCATTCAGTTCTGAAACACCAGTATTCTGACCTTGAACCAGAGGGAGATGCACCCATCTCATCTACAGCTATCAACCTTTTTTTTTTCCTATCTTTTTGTTTTGTTGTTCACAAATTCTTAGAGGTGGGGAAAGGCAGAATTTTTTTGTTGTTGTTAAGATTTTATTTCTACAACAGGGAGAGAGCATAAGCAGGGGGAGCGGCAGGCAGAGGGAGAGGGAGAAGCAAGCTCCCTGCTCAGCTGGGATCCCGATGTGGGGCTCGATCCCACGACCCTGGGATCATGACCTGAGTCGAAGGCAGACGTTTAACAGGCTGAAACACTCAGGAGGAGTGTTTCCATTAAACTGTAGACTCTTTTATATAGTTGTTTAAGTTGCTGCTTTATCCTCTCAACAATATGTCGACTAAGAAAGAATTCACTGAAAATTCAAGCGAACAGATATTTGTGGGAGCCATGAGAATTGCAATTTGGTAGACATAGTTTCAGGTCGAAACCTGACTTGTGCTCCCAGGAAGACAAAGAGGGAGGCGAGAGTTATAAAGGGGAAAGTTTACACGTGTAGTTTTCATCTAGGTCCTCCGCGTAAGGGAGGGATTGAACTAAGGTTAACTGGGATTGGTTGGGTCAATATCCAAATGAGGGACAGAAGTTTGTTAAACTGAATCTGCTCCTTTCCAAGGGAAGAGAACAGAGGATCTGGTTGTCCTGCGTTGTGTCCAGGCTGAGGACTTGACGCTGGCTTGAAAGTTCAAAAAGTTTGCAGTTCCTCTGATGAGGTTCTGTATAAATTCCTCCTCCCTTGTGGCCTCCCTGTCCTAACATCATAGAGACTGTCTTAGCTAGGCTTGCTTGTCCCATTATGTGATCTCCTTTTCCAAATATTTAAATTTACATAGTTAGGAATAAGGGCACAACTTTTTTTTTTTTTTTTTAAGGAAGTTTATTGAGGGAGGAGAGGATATTTGGGGTTTTTTTGGTGAAGTTTTTATTTAAATTCCACTTAGTTAATATACAGTATAACATTAGACTTGGGTGCACAGTCTAGTGGTTCAGCACTAACAAATATTACCAGGGGCTCATCACAAGTGCACCCCTTAATCCCCATCACCTTAATGCCCACCACCTATTCCCCTCCCCACCGCTCCTCCCGGGGACCATCAGTCTCTTCTCTGTAATTAAGAGTCCATTTCTTGGTTTGCCTCTCTCTCTCTTTCTCTCTTTCTCTCTCTTTTCTCTTTCTTTTTTTTTTTTTTTAAGATTTATTTATTTGACAGACGGAGATCACAAGTAGGCAGAGAGGAAGGCAGCGAGAGAAGGAGAAGCAGGCTCCCCGCTGAGCAGAGCCCGATGAGGCACTTGATCCCAGGACTCTGAGATCATGACCTGAGCTGAAGGCAGAGGCTTTAACCCACTGAGCCACCCAGGTGCCCCTCTCTCTCTTTTTTTCTATGATCATTTGTTTTGTTTCTTAAATTTCACGTAGAAGAGAAACCATAGGGTATTTGTCTTTCTCTGACTTATTTCACTTAGCATAATATCATCTAGCTCCATCCGCATCGTTGTAAATGGGAAGATTTCACTCTTCTTATGGCTGAGTAATATTCCATTACACACACACGTACACACACACACACATATACACCACATCTTCTTTATCCATTCATTAGCTATGGACACTTGGGCTGTTCCCGTATCTTGACTGTTGTAGATAATGCTGTTGTAAACAGGAGTACATGTATCCCTTTGAATTTAGCATTTTTGGGTAACTACCTAGTAGTGTAATTGTGGGATCATATTTTTAAGGGTATTTGGGTTTTGGTTTGGTT